GCGGCCGCCACTCCTGCCGCGGCCCGCAGGGAGGGCGGCGCGGGGCCGCCGCCGGCGGACGCCCCTCTGACGTGGGTCCCCTCAGAGGAGTGGCGCCAGATCGCGGCGCGGCAGCGGGTGGCGCACACAGAGCCGTGCATGCAGGTGGGCCCGCGGACGTGCGTCACCGCCGCCTGCCCCACTCTCTCGCTGCACTCTCCTGCGGCAATGCACCTGCATGAAGGACGGCCATGCAGCTGTTGCCGCCCTCCTCGACGCTTCAGTTCACTGCTTTCAGTGTCCGCCACAGCCATAGCCTCAGTGGTCCTCACCTGCAATGGTCATATCTGTAAGGTGAACAATGTTGCATTATCTGGTTTCCAGACATGTGCAAATGCAACATATTGCCGCGTTGCTTGCCGGATCAGGTGTATGCGTCTTACAGCTGGCGCCGTGACCTCGCTAAGGCAGCCCGGCCGACCGCCGCCATGCTGGGGGGCGCGCGGCCGCTGGAAGACGAGGAGGCGGCGTCGGGGCGCGTCGCGATTGGCGGCGTGCGCGGCAGCGGTGACAGCGTCAGCAGCGAAAGCGGCAGCAGCAGCGGCAGCAAGAGCAGCAGCAACGGCAGCAGCACAAGCAGCACAAGCAGCAGAAGTGGGGATGGCAACGGGGCAAGCCGCGGCAGCAGCGGCAGCAGCGGCAGCAGCAACAGCAGCAGCAGCAGCGGCGGCACCACCAGCAGTAACAAAGGCAGCAGCGGCAGCAGCAACACCAGCAACACCAGCACCAGCAGTAGCAACAAAGGCAGCCGCAGCGGCAGCAACACGAGCGGCGGCAGCGGCGGCGGGGGCGCCTCAGAGGGCGGCGGCGGCGGCTTCAGGACGGGCGGCGGCGGCGCCGCGGCGGCGGCCCTTGGGCGCGTCGAACTGCAGCAGCCTGAGATGTCTCTGGCGATTGCATGGTCGTTATGCAGCCGTGCACTGCAGCGGTCGTACGTCAAGGGGTGCGTCGAGGCGCTGAAGGAGGGCAGCGGCGCCGAGGACGTGAAGGACCTCCAGGTGTGATCTGGGGTGATCTGGGGCGATCTAGGGCGATCCGAGCGCACTGCGCGTGCTCTGACGGCGTTTTCTGGACTCATGTGAGCCGTGGCTGAGGCCAATGTTTTTCGTGATGCCGCAGCTGCCGCCGACTCCTGGTGTCCCTCCATCGGCCCTGCGAAGGTGCGCATGCAGGTGCACACGCGGCGCGCGCGGCTGGCGCTGGCGCCGGCCTACCACCTGGCCTATGCTTACGGCTCCAAGTACACCCCCAGCCGGGCTGACATCGTGCCAGAGCAGCACGAGGCGCTGCTGTCGGGTGCGCAGCACGCGCGGCGCACTTTTTTGGGGGGGAGGGGGGGGGGGCGGAGCACGCGTGGTGTTTGTGGGGCGAAGTGCGTGGCGCGGTGCGCGGGGAGTGCGCTCGATTGTGGGGCAAGGGGCCCGTCCTTCTGCATGCCCCTGCCCAACCTACGGGGGCCGGCTCCGGTTTTGGGTGCTGGGGCCGCCAACATAGCGGGGGGGCCACCAAGCCGAATTCTAGCAAACAATGTTGAGTGTGTTTGTACCTTGCGTCTCCATGGATGGCGTTTCGGGGGGCGGGACATCTTTTGTTGAGGAGTAAGCAATCCGAAGATTGTACATCAACCCTGGGGCCCGCAGCGCCGCCATCGAGCTGCCCTGCTGACAGGCTCGGTGCGTTATTGACAGCACTGCCTGTGTCCCACCCGGCGCGTCGGCCACAGCCGCCACCCCCCCCCTGCAACTACCACTGCTGCCACTGTCACCGCTGCCGCCGCATTTGTCACGTTGCACCCAGGCCGCTGGGGCGGCGGTGTGTCTGCGCAGCCGCACCTGTCGCCAGGCAAGGGCGCCGCCGCCGCGGCCTCCACCGTCGGGCTGCTCTCGCTGGCGGCCTTCCAGGTGCGCCTCGGCCGCGCACAAGGCTTGCGCGCGGCCGCCCCCATGCTGCGGCCTGCGGCCTGCGGCGCGGGCGGCTGTGGCTGGGGTCGAGGTCGGGACCGGGCCGCCGTGTTCCGCGCCTTGCCCCGCATCCGCGTGCCGTGGCCTTGTGTGATCATCATTTCATGCAAGCACCGCCCGCTCCGGTCCGTGTACATACACTATTTGATCCCTGCACACACACACACACACACACACACACACACACACACACACACACACACACACGCACGCACGCACGCACGCTCACACACACACACACACACACACACACA